CCAGTATTTTCGCTCCTTCCCAAAATTACTTCTACGGAAGGTTTCCAGATGGATATGCGGAGCAAATCCATCTGGTGGAATCAGGTTAGGAGACAGTGGCATTCCTGTCTCCTTAAAGCTACTATCTAAGTGATACTATTTTTGTCATTTTTACTTGCATTATTTTTTTTGCATCTTATATATTTATTGGACTGTGAGTCCAGAATAAATCTATCTATCTATCTAATTGGCTTAGAGTTAAATTAAATTGTTTAAAAGATACTCTTTAAATATTTTTGGGGAAAAAATACTTATTATTGATTTAAGTGTTTCTTGTCTTTTAAATGTGCATACTGTGCACTTAGAAATAGGAATTAAACTCTATGCACACTGCAAAAAATGTAAATCTAAATAAGTCATTTTTGCTCAAATGAACTGCATTTTTTCTTGAATTGAGGAGGTAAGTGAGAGACTTTGCCAATGGAACAAGACAATTTACATTTAAAATAAGGAAAAAAACAATTGCTTTGTCTTATTTTAAGCGTATATTATCTAATTATCTTATTTTAGGAGTAAAATGACTAATTCCATTGGCAGATCATCTTATTGACATGCTCAAATTAAGGGTAAATACACTTCATTTAAAACATTTTTTACTTATTTCTAGATGTTTTTTGCAGTGCAGATACAGCAAAAATGTTTGGGTCCATAGCCCCAAAACAACACGTCACACAAATATTTGTTGAAAATTTAGCTTATTTTGGTCTTATTTTGTCCCACTTCAAGTCCAATAAAAGACGTTTCAACGTGGGGAGGAAAAAAAAGACAAGACCTTTCAGTTTGTTGTTTAGATGTAAATCATGTGATATTTTCAAGTCTTTTCAGGCAGTTTTTGCTTGGTGGGTACAGCCTGCTTGGTTAAAGTGTAGGATGTCCTTATAAGTAAAAGCAGCTGCCTGTTCTGACTGGGAACACCAGGGGGTATTGCTGTAATGTTGTTTCTTACCTGCCTGATGAAGCGCTTCTGTATTGTGGGCTCTGGTTGCCAAATTAGCAACAGTTTGCGCAAACACCAGCCTGGATTTCTGGTACTGCTCAAAGACTGCAGGAAACAAAGCAAGTTAACATGAATAAATCTACCATGGCTGAACCCGCGTCACTCTGTGTAGAAAAACCTGCCAGGGATCTCACCTTGAACTATTTCTCGATGAGTCATTGTATCAAAAATAACTATAAAAAAGATCCGATTTCAACTATTTTTCAATAAAATGTGTATCCGCTGTAGACAGTTAATAGTAACTGATTTTAATTTCGGTCTTAAAGCCGTTATTCTTAGCCGCAGCTTAGTATAACTGTGCTGTCGTTACTAGTTGCCGTAGCAACACAAATAAGTCTATCGCCCTGTTCCTGACAAAGATCGTCTATGACAAACATGCTTCACTGCGGACCCTCGCCTCCTCCGGAGATGACTTATTTATTCAGAGTGAGACCTCTTTTATTGCGGTTTTCTCTAAAATGTTTACGTGTCTCTCGCTTTCCCCACACCTCTATTATTTGCTAATTTAAAGGAAAATAAAAGTAAATCCATCCAGCTGGGTTAAGCTTGAAATAACCACGGAGTGCATTACTGTGCGTTTCCAAAGATGGAGATCAAAGAAGACACTTGCTGATTATCTTTTTTATGTATATATAATTTCTTTTGAACGCACTCCTGACTTGCAGGAGCAGGTCGGTGTCTCATAATCATTCACCCTAATCAGAGGTTATTTTAATGTCTGTTAAATGTCGAAAAAAAAGGCTAAAAAACAAAACAAAAACAAATAGCCTATATAAACTTATCCCCACTTCATCTGAGCTGACAGCTCTACCTTTATGTTAATTAAAAATCAAGACAAATGAAAAATCTAGCATAGAAGAAAATGTATGTTTGTATTTTTCTATTAATTTGATTGAACAGAACAGCAGATAAAGGCAACATTTCCAACATTCAGCAAGGTGGTAAGGAGTATTTTATTAAATAAAATAAATTCCATCATTTTATGTAAACCTCAACCTTCCCCAATACTCTCCAAAATGTCTTATTTATGAATCTTTTTTATGTTAAAAATAAATGCGTTTAGGTTTCAGCACTGTATTTCCAATGAAAGAGATCTAAAAAAAAAAAAAAAAAAAAAAAAAAAAAATCCACAAAAACTCTTTTGTGGGGTTGAGAAAAAGGGTCATATTCAGAGCAAAGTTTTACATTTTTAGATTTAAATATAATCATTCCCGTTTTATTTCCGCTTTATGTGCTTTATAGAAGAACATTAGACTAAGAACATTAGACGAAAAAAAAAAGATTAAGCTAATAAACCCATTGGAAATACTTACATTTCAACACAGATATTTAGAGGAACTAACACTTTGGATAAATTCTACATTGTGTGTTGCTCCAAAAAAAAAACTAGATCTATGCACCATATTTCAGACCTCAAAGTAAAAAAAAAAAATACAAAAGCAAACAGATCATAGGATAACACAGGGACAATCTAACATAGGCTCGCTTGTTAACCTCGAACATATAATGTTGTTAAAGTGCTTTACTTTAAAACACTCGAAAAGATCTGGTAATACACTTAAAATACGGGAAATCTAAATAAGTCATTTTTTTTCTTAAAATTTGTGAATTTTGTCTTGAATTGAGAAGGTAATTGAGACACTTTGCCAATGGAACAAGACAATTTACATTTAAAATAACAAAAAAAAATGATTTCATTGTCTCATTGCAAGTGCATGTTATTTAATTATCTTATTCTAAGAGTAAAATGACTCATTCCATTGGCAAAACACATTATTTACAGATTCAAATTAAGGGTAAATACACTTAATTTAAGACATTTCTTTACTTATTTCTAGATCGCTTTTTCAATGTAAATGTCCAGGAAATAAAGAAGGTAATTAGAAAATGTCCCGTGTCGCAGAAAAAATGGAGGGCATTTACCCCAAAACGATCGATTATCAATACTACGGAATATTAAGGGTCGCTCTCTGCGCAGCTTTTGTATATAATATAAAACGGGAAAAAATAAATAAATAACTGCATCAATTTATATCAGTCGATTTTTCTACAACCGACTTATTCGTTTTAAGGTAAAGATAATTATAACCTAGGCTATTTATGCACTACTTTTATTTTATTTTATTTATTTTATTTTATTTCGGTATGAAGTAATTTATTTGCTTAAAATAAAAATCTAACTATGAACTTTCGAAAAAATCTGTTTTTGTATTTTTCTCAAACTATTCCAATTGTCTCTTCACTTTTTGTCGGTTTTTTCTTTTCTTTTTAGCGGAAAGACGTAGCAAATTAGAATCAAGTTTATTGCCAAGTAGGTTTGCACTTACAAGGAATTTGACTTGGTGTTGTTGGTGCAGACAAAAAACAAAACAAAATAGCAATTAGCTAATAGCAACAATGAGCTCTAATAAGCAATTAGATGGCTTATTTAATTTTAATAGATTTAAGTTTTATTTTAATCAAAAATACTATGAAATTAAATACAAAAAATGCCTTTAAGATAAACTGCAAAAAATTATAGACATGTAGTTATTTTTTATGCATTTTACATCAAATGAATTTTCACCTATTATTCCACAACGCAATTCGTTGATAAATTACCGATGCTTACGTCATATCCGCAGAAACAAGCGGACCCCTGATGTTTGGCACCGTCTGCCCATTTCAGTTATTTCTTTTATTTGCTTTTTTCTTTTTCCCCATTGAAACAGTCAGATCTAGGGATGAAAAACAGAAGACGTGTTTTTTTTTTTTTTTTTTTTTTGCATAAGTGTAAAATGTTTTATTTTAGATGTTTTATACTGTGCAACAGTAACAATACGGTAAGTTGTTCATACAATTGAGCGATACAAATAGGCTACAGAAAACAGACATGAAAACATTTGTCAGAAATCGAAGCCAAGTCCTTCCTTTGGAGCAAGAGGCAGAGAATAACACCATGGGCTGATTAAATATCAACTTTGTCTCTATTTACACACAGAAACCTTTAAAAGACACGAAAGACGATCAGTCCGGCTACAAGGAAGTTTTTTTTTTTTCCGAGTAAAAGGCAGAAATGTTTTTTTTTTATTATTATTATTATTATTATCATTATTCCTCCCATTGAAGCTTCCCGCTTTACAAACTCCTCATGTCCGCAACATTTCCCAAAAGTTTCTTTCAGGACAGCAAAGAGTCACAAAGAGCATGCGTGTGTAACTGTGCTTCAAAATATCCCAACACACATGAAAAAAAAAAAATAAAATAAAAACAAGAGAAACACCTTTAATTGAAGTGTCATCTTCAGTCACTTCTGTCAAATAAAGATGTAGCTTTTAAAGGGGATACATATTTCCAACTTTCTTCCCTCCATTATTTTCCTTTCAAAATAAAATTTCCCACTTCTGTTTTTTTTTTTTTTTTTTATGTTTTTTTTGTTGTTTTTTTGAAATGTCTCTGATTCCACTACTTTTAAACGTACAAATGATGCCATAATATTTAGAACGACGAATGGAGACAGAAAGAGAGAGATCATCGTCTACACAGTGGAACTACGTTGGCATGGAAACCGAAGGAGCGCAGCGGCAGTCTGACGTCAGCAGGCGGGTCCCGGCGTCATCCGGACGACGTCGCCGAGCCGTTCAGTGAGACCTTCCGAGGTTTACTGCCACCGAAGTGGGGGAAGGTTCGGCTAGGGGTCTGAGCTCCAGCCGCGGGGCTCCCGTTCACGCTGCCGATGTTGTTGCTGCTGGGGCCGTGCGGGAGCTGAGGGTGCGGGGAAAGAGCGGGGGTCCCAGGGCTTGGCAGCGACGAAGAGGTGGACGGAGCCCCGGTGGGACTCCCTGCTTTGTCGCTGGCGGAGTCGCTCTCCGGAGCGGATCTGCTAAGGCTGTTCTGACCCTCCTGGCTGTGGTTCACCTTCATTTTCTTACAGTTGGGTCGGACCCGGTACTTCAGGGGCAAGGGGCCGTTCTGAGAGGAGGAATGAAAAGAAAATTATCTAAAAGTCTAAAACCATGATTGCATTTTTGTATCCATATCAATATAGATCCGTGTAAATTAAAAATATTTACACGGATCTATATCAATTTATACATACACACAAAGTTATTTTCAAAACATGTTCTCTGCCAAGATATGTTAAACACTTAAAAAAAAAAAAAAAAAAAAAAGTATCCTTAATTCCTACGCATAATAAAATAGTTTATTTTATTTATTTGAATAATGTATGAATTGTACGATTGTCCTAATTTATGAAACTTATTTTAAAACTTTTTTATTTTATTTTGTCAAATAAGACTTTTCCCTCTCATTTATAGAAGGAAATGAAAGGCAGGTTCATTTATAAAACAACATTCAGTAGAAATACACTTCTTTATAGAAAAGGTCCTATCGCGTATTTTTCAAGCTGTTTAAAAAGAACTAAAAAAAAAAATAAACTTTAAGTTCCAAACAGCAGGTCAGACCGTCGGCATGGAAGGTGTTAAATTAATAAAAAACCAAAAAGGAAACATAGATTAAACAATTACTAATTAGTGGAATCTTTTTGCCAGAATTCTAAAGAGTTCAGTTAAATAAGAACCAAATATATATATATATTTTTTTGTATATAAAATTGCAATAAAAGACATTTATAATCAACCTACATGATCCCCCCCAAAAAATATTATTTTAATTTTCATTCTATGAATCCATCTTTGACTTTTATTTTTTTATTTGGAATCCTAGATTACAGCATATTTAACACATCAGTTTGTTTGTTTGTTTGTTTTGGCACCTTCAAAAACTGATCAGATAAATACTAAATTTCTGATCCCCGACGTCTTTAAAAAAAAAAAAAAAAGAAAAGAAAAGAAAGAAAGGAAAGGTGAATTTGAATCCTTCAAACTGCATCTAAACCACCCCCCATTGAAAAATTGGGGGTTTAAATTTTTTTTATAAATTAATAAATGATCTAGTGACTAATAATTATTGCCTTTTAATTTTTTTATCAAACAGTAACAACCATAACAAAACAAAAACATAAATAAAAAGTAAAGTTGTAGTATGGTAATCCAAAAATAAAGAGCTTTATCTTCATGAATACAAATAAAAAACAACAGCCCAATTATTTTTGCAGACTTTTTGGTTTTCTATTTTTTTAGATATTCAAGTAAAAAAAAAAATAAAAATGATCTAACACTTTTCTATATTTCTTTTTTTTTTTTTTTTTTTTTAGCAGACAAAGCGTAATCATCAGTAAAATACCTCTATTTGAATATATAATTTTACGACTATATCAACTTCAATCTCTCCCAACAGACATGTATGCATGTTAAGAATAGCTTATGGTTTGCAAATAATTAGACCTATAAAATGTATACGACATACTTCATTATTCCATTGACTGGTATTACACCTATTTAATTTTAAATTAAATTACTTGAACATGCTGGAATTTACAGCAAATACATTTATAGAAACAAATACAGTAGATTTTAGGTCACTTATCCACAGGATGTCCAAGGAAACATCATCTTACCCTTCTCCAAGTATAGATATACGCTATATCCATTAATGTGTAGTAATCTTTGAGAGGCTCGTCTTCATACATAACCTCAACCTGGAATAAATGGGGAAAAAATGGAAACTCGTTTAATTAAATGTAAAAAAAAAAATGAAGTTATCCATCTGCATTTATATGAGAGTATCAACCAAAATAAAGAAAAAAAATATATAGATACACATAAAATACCTGATATGTGCTTGGGATGTCCATCTTGCTGCGCAAAAACTTCCTCAGATGCTTAACTGTCATGGCGGCTGGACACTGCAGGTACCTCTTGTTTGCCACCTGCAGATCCACATAGCATTATATTATGTTGCATGTTTTTTTGTTTTTTTTTTTAATAGTGACAAAGCTTTGAGCTTTGCAAATATGTTTATATACATCTCGGATGGAAGGGAGCAAATGGAATCTGCATTATACCTGATCTTTTGTCTGCTTGTCTTCCACTCCACCTACAAGTCTATGAACAAATACAAACACACCGCTGTCACATTGTTGTTACTTAAAATTCTCAAAGTAAAATGCTTTACATAAGCATCTTCTTCCATTCTATTTTCTGCAAACATGATTGTCCTTCCTTGTTTTTAATTTTAATATTAGAAAAGCCAATAACTATGAATTTGCACCAATGTTGACTTGAATCTCCTATTTAGAAACCAAAAAGACCATCAAAGGATGATATATTGGAAAAGAAGACATAATTTAACTGCTAATTTCCTGGATTATAGGAAATATGTGTAACGTATTACTTAAAACAAACATTCTGTGTGTGAGTATATGTATAAAAAATGTAAGTAGAATAAAGTATAGCCTTTTTTTTCTTTTTTTTTAAAGGGACAGCAAACAATGAGTGTAACATTATTATATATGATAAAGCACACAACAAGGCTGGCTTTTAAACCAAGAAAATATCCATTCAACTATATTAAATATAAACCTTGCTCAGTAAAGCTTAGAGAAAATTCAATTTTATGCATTTAAACCAGAAGCTCACCTGGTCTGATCAAAGAACTCAATGGAAAGACTGATGATCTCATCATCTGTGATTATTCTCTTATCCTCATCTGCTACCTCTCCACGGTCCTCATGTGAACCATTGGATGCTTCAGGACAAAAAGGCAAACAACATGTGGCCATCATGCAGGGGACAAAGAAAACCATTAACATGAACTAAGGCTGGAAATTTAACTCACCATCTACGGGATGCTCTGCGTAAAAGTCCCTTCTCCTCTTCATTTCATCTGCAGGAATGACCACAAGTCAAGTAGAGCTTTATTTCTCACAAACACACAAACAATGATGATTTGTGCATAAACCAAAACTAATTCCACACATTTGACAAAGACAAAGGAGGAAAAAAGTAATTTCTATTCATTTTAATTGTTTTTGAATAGAAAAAAAAATATACAAATAAAAACAGGTTAATAACCCCTCGGATATGTAATAGTTGACTCTGGGAATTTTCTTTGCTAAACTTATTTAACCACAAGCAAAAAGTTGTAATGACTTCCCATTTCGCCACACAACTGAAATCAGGATGGCTTCAGATAAACACTCCTTAATCGACAAAAGAAAAAAATATATAGAGGAGGATGCCACTAAAATATCAGTATCTTACTGATCTAAACCATCCACATGCTGTTATTTCTATAGATTTATTTTGATAAAGACAAAATTTAAACTTCCTTACTTTTGAAAAGGCCCGGTACCAGTTTGTACACAATATCCTGTAAAGTTTTATCAGATCTGCAGAGAAAATTTGAAACTTTGGTCAAAAGCAAACAAAAGATTACAGACACACCAGGTTTTACTGGTTGGATGAGCAGATAAATTACAGGTTATATAGAACATAAGATGATGAATGGCTGATTCACCTCTACAAAAGGCACAAAAGAAGTAAGACTAATAAAAACATGAGAGAGAAAAAAGACAATGCTTTTCATATATGATTAATAAGTCAAAAAGAAATAAATGGACACACCCAGGAGCATGCTTTCTCACCTGATATTGAGCAGGGGTTTGGTTTTATGCACTTGTACATCACAGATGGGACAATATTTGCTGGTTTCCAGGTAACGCACAATGCACATTTTACAGACTGCAACAGAGAAAAAAATCTTTCAGTATGAATGAATGCATCAGAAAAGGATTTCCTGAGTGCCAAATGTGGGCCAAGGGACAAACACTAAAGTATCACTCACAAGAATGGAGGCACTCGATGATTGTGGTTGCATCTATAAAGTATCCCCCACAAAGGACGCATATGAGGTGAGGGTTGAGCTCTGTGATCTTTATCCTGGTGGTTCGATGCATGTTGGCTGAACTTTACAGAAAAAAAGAAGAAATCCTGCATGGGGGGAGCAATAGGATATAGAAGGAAAGTGTCACAATGGTGGAGCATTTGGGGATTATCAGTGACAATATAACAAAATTAGGTGATCTAAAAAAATAAAATCAATTGGCAACTGTGCAATAGACTTAGCTTGTGATATGCAAAGACAAACTGTGAAGAAATGCATCTTAGGAAGATCTATGCAGAAGCATGCATGCAATACCATTTGCTAAAGGTTGTTTGTTTGACTGTGTTAAATCAACAGGGTCTCTTATGCTAATTCAAAAATAACTGAAAGGAGAGGAGTTCTGTGGCTGATTGATAGGCAGTGAGATGGTATTTAGGAGGCTGTAAAATATCATAAATCAGTCGGATCATGGAGAGATGGAAGGCTTGGGTCTCTGTAGCCATCTTGAGCACATATTTTACCTAAAGAGAAACATAACTTGTTGGATCCGAGTGTTCTGCTGATTACATTTTGGGAAAGGATCAGTTCATTTTGCTCCCAGGTCACCGAGCAAAGGCAGCATTTGGCTCCCCAGCTTAAATCCAGAGAGTTCATTTCATTGCTCTGTACTTGTGACAGAATAATGACAATAAAAAGCTGAAAATATATATATATTTTTTTTCACACTGCAAAAAATGGAAATCTAAATAAGTCTTTTTTTCTCAAATTAAGTGCATTTTTTCTTGAATTGAGGAGGTAAGTGAGACACTTTGCCAATGGAACAAGACAATTTACATTTAAAATAAGAAAAAAAACAATTGCTTTGTCCTATTTCACGTGTATATTATCTAATTATTTTATTTTAGGAGTAAAAATACAAATTCCATTGGCAGATTATCTTATTCACGTGCTGAAATTAAGGGTAAATACACTTCATTTAAGACACTTTTGTACTTATTTCTAGATGATTTTTGCAGTGCATGCGTTAAGTTGCGCATGATTCTGGATTAAACAGCTACACTGCAAAAAATATCTAGTAATAAGTAAAAAATGTGTTAAATTAAGTGTATTTACCCTTAATTTGAGCAGGTAAATAAGATGATCTACCAATGGAATGAATATTTTTACTCCTAAAATAAGATAATTAGATAATATACACTTGAAATAAGAAATGCACTTAATTTGAGCAAAAATTACTTATTTAGTTTTACATTTTTTGCAGTTAGAGATATCTGCTATATTTCATTTTCTCCGTTTTTAATAGGAAAACAATTACATCGCAGCAACCTTCAACCCAGCCTGCAGAAATACATAAATAAGGGCATCGATTCTACGGACAGACAGGTTGAGGCGGATCAAAGCCCGTTTGAAGGGAGGTTAACTTGGGGGGAGATGATACCAGGCTCCCGCTGCTTGCGTCAGGTGTGCCACACAGGCTGGGGGCGCGTGGAGAGAGGGAGGGGGGGACCTGGCCGTTTCTATGGCAACTCCCTTTGCTGTGAGCCCGCGTGCAGACTAACCAGTGACCTGAACGAGACAGGATGTCGAACCAAAACAGGAGTCGGCGAAGCTGCCGATGAAGCTGAGCGGGTAGGAGGAGGAAGTAAAGACCGAGAGGCTTTCTCTCTCCGTCCCCCTCCGCTGCTGGACTGCCAGGCTGCCGACAGCACGGCTGCCATTTTGTAGAGGGGAGAAAAAAAAAAAAAGAAAAAAGGAGAAGCTCATATCGGTTCAGCTGGGCTGCGGGGTTTCCTGCCAGAGACAGGGGGCACGCGAAGTCCCGCATAAAACCCGCAGCTTTTTTGGGCTATAGAGAGCGATAGGCGACGGTGTCCCCGCCGGAGAAAGACTTCGCTTTGAGCGGTCGTGTTGTTCTCATACTGTGTGTGTCTTTGTGTGTTTGTTATCACGATGCAGCAGCAACATGGCCAGACAGCAGCGGCTCAGCCCAAGTTAAACCCGCAAAACGAAACACATGCAAAAAAAAAAAATAAAATAATAATCCAAAAGCCTGCGCACAGACCGCTTTTTTTCCTCTCCAGAATCAGTCACACACAGCCTGGATATCAGCCCATCAGAGCGCATTTGTTCAGCAAACACTGAACAGAAGCAAAGTTGTGGGAAAAGCCCATCCCCTTTCTGACAGAGCCGATCCAAAGGCTCACTTCAACCAGCAGTTTCTTTGGTTTGGGGCCAGCAGCCACCACCCATGCTGTTTACTAGTTATGTATTTATTCAACAATGATTCCCCCCTTTTTAAACCACCCTAAGCCAAGTTTCATAAAGCAGAAACAGCCTTTATAAAAGTTGACAGAAGATACACAGAAGCTCTGATTAGATGGAAAATCATGTTTCAATGCAGCCTTGGTGCTGAGAAAGATGGATCAAACTGAAATATATGTGCTAACAAGCTTTTAAGGGGGAAAAAGGCTTCTAACTGGGTGCCTTTAGTTGCAAATATGAATGAAGGTGTGATCACAGCAAAGAAAAAAACATAAGCATCAAATATAACAAAGCCATGTGTTAATACAAGGAAATTAAATAATTATGATCATTTTTACAATGCATTGCTCATTCCTGTTCCACTACAAACAGTGATAAGATATAGGCTTTATATTATAAGAATCAAAAGGTTGATCTGCTTAGTTTGTTTATATTTCACAAAGTAAAGAGGCAACATCATGCTGGATTAGATGCAAGCCCTTTATAGCAATGTGGGCTATAACAACATGCTTCAGTTGATAAATAACAGTGAACATCACAAAGTCAAAAGCTGTTGTAGTTTTCCACGGAAAAAAAAAAACAATAATAGTAAAATCATAATAAAAAAGCAGGATTTAAACCACTCTTGTCCCACCATCAGCACCACTGCCATGACCTCCCCACCTCTGAGGCTCACCAGATCCCTGATCGGACAAGTTTGGACAGCATCTCTGCTCCAAAGGATGCCGCACACCCGGATAATGATGGATAATGTCCGCTTATATGCAAGAGGGGGAGCTTGTTGCGCCATTAATCGATCGCCTGGTGTTTGGACAACTGTTCTCCCTTTTCTGACCTGTGGGAGCGGTGCTATGTGCTCCCGTTATTTATATGACTTCATCTCAATGCACACAGAGGATCAAATAAGGAGAATAGAGCCGCTGTTCCCTTCTGTGGCTGGAATTTTATTTCTTTTAAAGTGTTTATAGAATAATAATAGTAAATTAAAACACTTAAAACTGCAAATGACTGAATGACCCAAATAGATGCAGACTCCAGATTTCTTGAAAAGTACCAAAAAGCTCCAAAGTAATAACCCATGAAAATACGCACAAGACGCAAAAAAAAAAAACCCCAAAGCTTACTACACTATGTGAGAATAGATCTGAACAGAAAAAAATATAGAAAATATAAAAACTGGATGCCATGTTTGAGCTTTAATTAATACAGCCAATCTGTCTGATGATATTTTTATATAAGAGGGCTATAACCTTAAAAAAAACCGCAGCAACAATGGTGAAATGAACTGATTTTATCTGAAAGCTTTAGGAATGCAGCTTTAACTTCTGTATAGAAAACCCAATGATTGCATGCATTGAATTTCGATCAAAGGTGAGAATGTAGGATGTCAATAAAAGTCACTAACGTCATGTTCTGGTTATAAATTCTTGTAAATTTAACACCGCTTTGCTGGTGTTTTGGAGACGCAGGCTTCTCTTTGTACCCAACCCGACGTCTCGCCGTTGGATGTTTTTAAATCTACCAAAAATCCAACCAACCAATCCAAACAAAACGGTACAGAACCGGTGAAGAAACGCACATAGTTTTTGATTCTTCAACGATCAACTCTGTACTAAACAGCAGCAATTAAATAATTTGCACACAAATTAAACGTTTCGCCTCAATGGCACGTTTCCGGGAGCCATCCATTTTTAGTTAAAAAAACCAAACCTGGGTGAAATTCTTCAAAAAATGGAATGTCACCCGCTTTGAAACCCTTCCAACATCCCATCTCTATAAAATAAAGCCCCTACGTGGGAATCTGAGACCACACGGAGCGTTTGAAGCACTTGCTCCCGCTGCCATCTCAGCCGAGCCAGCCTGGTTCGCCTCAGCTCTTTCACTTTACATAAATCCAAACGACGTAAAGCAAACCTTAACCGAGATCAGGCTTTACAGGCAGATGACCAACCCATATACCATACGTTCCTGATTCAAACTGGATGATAATTGGCTTTTATTGCCGAGAAAGAACGCGTTTTTGCAGCGAGAAAGGGAGGAAAAGTAGTGCGCAGAGACACGCTGAGCTCCACGTCGGTGATAAAGCTCCACATCCACCGCTGGAGCGGATCAGCGCGGAGGGAGCGACACAGAGAAGGTGGAAAAAAACACAAAAGCACACCGCTAAAACGTCGCCTTTCACCGCCGATGGATAGAGAGCAGACGTACGGGGACAAACCTGGACGCTTGGCTGGCGATCGACGGCTCTCGACGCGGCGGAGACAATGAAAGTTGGCAGGCTGATCAGCAGAAAATGAATAGAAGCCGAGCCGCCATCTTGAAGCAGGGCTGCAGACGCTGTCAGTGGCGGAGAGCGCACGGCGGAGCGCAGCGCATTTCAGATGCGCCAAGAAGAGAAGGAGGGAGGGGGGTGTGTGTGTGCAAAACTCCTCGTATCCCCCCCTCTGCTCCGTGCGTATCCCGATCCAACAGAATCCAAATGCGTTGGTTCTGACAGTTTCCACTTCGGCACTGATAACTTTGCCTCCAAAATATCCGCTTCACCTCCAGAGCCGAAACGCAGCCCTCTCTCTCTCTCACTGTGTGCGTGTGCTCCGTGGAAACTGACACCGTCCCCAAAATGGCTTATAGTTCGACCGCCCCGCTTTGATCACGTGATCTGTTGCTTAAGGGTGCCTGGGAATTACTGTCGGTGTATTCACGTTTCCCCAAAAATATCCTGCGTGGTGAATTGAAACATAAGAAAACCTGGACGTGTGCACATGATCGCGTTTTTCCCCTCTTTTCTTTCTAAGGAAACCAAACGTTGCTGCAAACTGAGTCGAAATGATTAGCTGCAGATCAATTCGATGTCGGGGTGTTTCTTTGAGACTCCAGATACGATCCACATTCACGCACTTTTTTTTTTTTGAGCATGACAAGAGGGTTAATATGCTAACGGATATGGTGCGCACTCGTCGTTCTTGTTAAAAATAACCACAAGCCCCTGCCCTCATGTGGACTGGCAGAAGGCAGCTGCTTTATTAAAGCTCTACTCTAAGATCAACGCACTAACAAATGGCGTCAAACCTTTGCCACTGGCTGCAAGAAAAAAAAAATGCGCAACAGCGTTCTCCAGATGAAGCTGAAGTCTTGATCCTGCTTGCAGGCGGACAAACATGAGGGAATCCGGGATGTTTATGGAATGTGAGCCATAGTGAAGCTTCAAAGTGAGGAGCTTTGAGTCTGCAACCGAAAGGGATACAAACTTACCGGGAAAGGGGAAGGAATGCAAAGCAATTAATCCAAAAAAATAAAGTCCAACCCTTTAATTGGATGGCAACGGAAAAGACAACACACGATTTCAAATTACAAATATATATATAGCCTATATATATGTGTCATTTTTCCAGTCCAGTGTTTATGGAACTAATTAATGCTTCAAAAAGACGTGGAGTAATTGTGTGGATATTATTTCAAAGTTTCAAAGAACAAATGCAACAAACTTTATTTGTCAAACATGAGATTTTATTCTCCTCGCCAATACTCGTGTACAAAATCGTAACCAACACATTTAAACAAAACAAAGATAATGAGGGAAAAAAAAAAGTGTAGTGAAGGTTTTGTAGCTGCAGGGCGTCACATCTGACTGGCTTTCTCCACACTCTTAGCAGCGTCTTTTAACTTTGCCACCAGATCCTGGAAAAAAAGAGCAATCAAGGATCACCTAATCAACGAAAAGCAGAGATATTCTTAATTGGCCCGAAGAGTCCGACAGGGAGATGAAATATTAATTTATCCAGGTTCATAGCTCCTGATTTAAAGCATCAGCACCCCTCTTTCTCAGGATTATGATTTATGTTTTAGCTTTAAATTAAATTAAACAGTTAAAAGGACCGACACACACTTCGATTTAAAAAACAAATCCGATCTCCAAACTCAGTTTTGTGCGTAAATCTTCAGCTTCGGGGACTTCTCCACCTAGAATCCACCTTTCTTTTATTTACCTGCAGCTGTTCCGTTGTGCAGGTAAAGTTGACATCCTCCGGTGACCCCTCATTCTGAAAGTAACCAAACAAACAAACCAATAATCATAATAATTAAATGGGACTCTTTGGCGCACCGGAGCATAACGCAGCAGCTCAGTTACCTCGGTGTTCAGCGATATCAGGTAGAAAGGCTCATTGATCTTATCCAGCTGCCCGTTCTGATGGACAATAACAGCGTTTTTAGAGTCACACAAAAATGGAACAGCTTCAACTACGGTATCACAGCTCTTTCTACCTTCATTTGGTACTGCAGACGCCAAGAGACGTCGTGAACGTGAGGAAGACGTCTCCCTATGCTGCAAGAAGGGAGAGGACAGAGCTTTTTTTTAGCAAATTGCGTGCATTTTTAATGGACTCCGTTGCTTATTAATATGTAATAACATCTCCTGATCTATAGTCAATTTTCTACATGTCTGGCAGTTAGAAAAAAAAGCTTATATTTCTTTATTAAGTTCAGACAGATCTAAAAAAAAAGGAAATTTTCAAATGGCACAAAAAGAAAAGCAAGTCAAAGGAGCTCAACTTGACCCCATTTCATTTCTTTTTTCATTACCTGCCAGCAGACACTACCTCTTTTGTTGTTTTTTAAACACCTTTATTTAAAATTTTGTGTATATATATATATTTTTTTATCATGAATTTTGATTAAAAACAACAGTTTGCATTTCCCTATGAAGGTGTGATCATGATACTTTTCCCTCTCTCTCCATTCCAGATGTACATGAATGAAAACATTGCTTATATGTTCTCTTCCAGCTAACAATTTATCTGCTCTAATCTCTTCACTCTTCTGAAATGTATTAAGCAAGTTCTTTTCAATGGGGCTTTGTTTTCTTCTATATACTTTGACCATTTTAACCTTAACTTTGTCTGCCCAGATGGACAGCATCCTGGAGACATGTTTGTTTTGAATTCGAATAGTTTTTAGCAACTTGTAGGCTGTAATGTTTATAAATTAGTAATAACATCCCCTGTTCTATACATGTCCAGTCAATTTTATATGTGAGAACAAATATCAAGCTTACGTCCCTGACACAAAAAATCCTAACTTTGTTGAGTTTAGACATATCTAAAAATGTCATTTTTTAAGAAAAGCCAAACGGTCAAAGGAGCACAATCGACCCATTTCATTTATTTTCTCCTTACCTGCTGAGTAGACTCTCAACCTCTTTTTTATGTTTCTGTAAAACAAAAACAAACCCCAGTTTACCTACAGTCACAACTGCAACTATTAAAAGCTCTTTATTACAAACAAAAAAATTAATAAATATATTATCTAAATCATCTGACCTGATGGGTGGTGAAGAATAGTTCTAATCTTTCTGGGCTGAATGTGAGCTCCTCAAGGCAGGAGCTGCAACAGGGAAAAACAACTTTATTTTACACTTTTAAAAAATGTTTCTGAAGTGATTTTATTAAAAATTGCATATGTATTATACGTGTTGAACGTCAAGGAACTAAGAAAAAGTTGTATTTCCTTATGAAGATGTGAACAAAATACTTTTCTCTCCCTCTCCATTTTAGCACAGATGTATACATGGGTGAAAACATCCCTTAGTAATTAGCATATAATATTCTAGTTACCAATTTATCTGCTCCAATTTCTTCAATCTACTAACAAAGTTTGTTTTTTTTTTTTTAAATGGAGCTTTCTTTTGCTATAGATTTTGACCACTTTGAAAGTTAACTGTCTGCTCAGATGGACAGCATCCTGGAGACATGTTTGTTTAAAATCAGAATGGAAAACTGAAAATAAATAGTCTTCTGCAGTGGGTCAGTTATCAGTGCCAAATTTTCTAGTTGAAACTGGTTTTAGCATGATCCAGGAGAAAAAGGCTGAAAGTTTTTTTTTTCTTAAGTTGTTTGCAACACTGCTCTCTTCTAGTTGCTCCATATTGTCAGTCAACTGGCTGAAAGCTGCTTCTGCACCTGTATTTGCTTACAAGAAAGAGAGATTTGGTTGCTTGGAATTATATCCAACTTCTCCCTCAAAAAACAAAACAAAATAAAAAAAAAAAAAAAAAGGAATGGCATGGAAACAAATGTATCTAACACAGCAACATTAATAAGAAAAATTGCCTCAATCATTATGTCATCTAAATGTATAATTTAGCTATTTAACAGGAGTAGGAATGTCCGAGGCTTTTCAGTTTTAAATAACATTTTCATCACTTTATCCTTTTTGTTACCATTAGTTATACTCCTGCCAACAAAACCAAAATGGATGAGCAAAAAATTACAATTACTCCTACCTAATGAGCAGTCCATCCTCCTGCATTTTATGTAGTTCTGTCCAGAATTATCTGATTTTATCTCAACCTGCAGTCAGCTTCTTAATTTTTTCAAACACTTGTAATGCTGCCTGGTCTTCCCTTAAGAGACTTAAAGAGAAAATCTTATCAGTTGAGTGGATGGTGTAAAACTATCTTTCTTTGAAATCTGAACACTGCCTTTCATTTCCCCTTTCTTTAAACAGTCTGGCGTGTTTGTTTTGTGCACAACACCCTTTGATACACATCTGTGCAGCCCATTCAAACAGAGGTTAGCAAGATGCATATCTAGATTTTTGATGTGCACAGCTTGTCATGGAAATATCTCATCTTAATAGTCTGTACATAACTAGGAATTTGAGATTATGGAGCGAACCGAAAGAGTGATGCATTAAAGTGAAAACACCACGGCTGACAGCCAACTATATTAGAACCAGAAAGCAAAAGAACAGACCACTCAGCCATTTTCAACACAGATTCCTGATTTTATTTGAGGCCAATTCCAGTTTCCACTGTTCTGCTTATTTTCAGTATTATACATCATTTAGAAAATAAGTATGTAGGTTTCTCTGTAGTGTTAAGAGTTTCAAATCTATCAAAAAATGTTAAAAAAAATAAAAACAAAATAATGATCCCCATTGATGCATCAGCAACAGGAGTTTCATGAGACCTTTTGTCTGATTTTTTGTTTGTTTTACAGAAATGCAGAGAATTCACTTATAGAGTTTGTAGACTTAAATAAAAATGAAAGTTCTTCAATTTTAATGTATTGGCGGAAGACCAATGTCTTCCAGTGTTTGGCCTGCCTTTCACCAGTCTATTGATGCAAATAAGCCAGTTTAATGTATACAACATATTTATTTCTAAATGTTTTCTCTTCCACGCTCAGAGGTGTAGCTCACTTTGAACACTCTACAAAAATTTTACATTATTAAAAACAACCCATTTCCATCCAACTGTTGTAATTTAAAAGCACAACCCCCCCTGTAGCCCATACCTCTCTTTATTTTCTCCATATAGACTTAGAGTCAACTTTATTTATCCCTTGGGATAACTCCTGCAGGGAAATTCTGGTTATATAGAGTAAAAAGAGTTAAAGCAAGATGTCATTGAAGATAAAAAAACATGACAGACAATTTAAAAAGAATGTATATAGTACAAAAAAGCATAAAAAAGAAAAAAAGTTGTAATATCCAAGAATATGTTTCCCTTAGATATACAAATTATCTGAGAGAGTTAAGGGAAGACTACTATTTCACCTGCAGAGATGTGCATGTTTAAAAAAAAAAAAGATCCAGACCTGAAATTTGGTTCAAAATATCGAAATATTTAATAAATTAATCCACCAGTTCCTGTGTCGCCCATGTGTGAAGCTGAAGGACACCGTCATGTGTCTGCTGGTGCCATCCATACCTTATGGTGGACTTGTCGGCGTTGTGTTTGACCGCCTCCAGGATGAACGTGGCCAGCGCTGCGTGGATCTGCTTCACTTGGATCCTGTCGATGTGCTTCAGTTCGGGCTGATCTGAAACCAGAAGCACAGTGAGATGGATGCTGTTGAAAGCAGCTCGCTTTCCACACATGCTGGAATAGATTGGTGCTAATGTGATCCACAGCTTCTGCTCGGGTTCTCCCAGATTGACGCGCGGAATGGAAATCAATGATGATTTGCATGTGAATGGACCCCTCAGCTGCATCAGCAGGGGAGGGGGGGGGGGGGTCCTTTGTTTGTTTGTGAAGATTTCATTTCCTAAATTATTCGCACACTAATATTAACTGACATGCTTTAAAAACATTTTGGAGACTAATAAAGGATTATATAGTTTAGTCGAAAATAAAACCCAATGAGAGCGCGCCTGATGTGCGCGCATGATCAGATCAATCTAACAGGGGTTGAAATACTCTAATATATTCCTTATGATGTGTTAAATAGCCTTGATGGCAGTTTAAGATGCTAAAAGCTTTTCGCGTGGCCGATTGCTTCAATGAATCCAAGGCAGCAGGAGAAAGAAAAACCGAAGAGCGCATTAAAAGCTCAAAATGAGCGATTTTCTTCGCACCAAATTCCAACTATTGGAGGTTATTCTACATGAAGGAGGACAGATCCGGGGTACAGGTGCCGTCAAAAACCGCAGACGTGAAGTTTTCAACAGAGAGAAACCGGAAGAAGCGGAGACAAAAGCGGCTGCATGGGCGGGGAGAGACATCGGCTCACCGAGGATCGCGGGGTCGGCCCGAGACGCGAGCAGACCCCGGAAGGAGACATCCAGCAGCACCTGGAAACTGCTGGGATCCACGACGGACGGATCAGCCAGGAGCTGCAGCCCCCTCTGCACCGACTCGCTCAACTCCATCTTGCAAAAAGGGCGCCACGTGACGCATCAGCTGATCCAGCGCGTGGAGAGGAGAGCAAAGGCGCGCGGGGAGGGAGAGAGCGAGGGAGGGGGGTCTGAGCAAAGACATATTACAGAGAAAGCATGGGGGGGGGGCACACCAATAAATCACCGGGGCTGTCAGCAGCCACAGCTCTGGACTAGGTCGGTGTTCTGGTGGCTGATTCAGCTCACATGTGGTTTGTTTACATGTTCAACACATGCAGCACAGTGTTAAAAGCAAAGATGAACAAAACAGGTGGTTTCCAATAACCCACCCTCACTACATCATCCAAACACACACAGGCTATAATAAGCAGGGAAATGCAGCTCTGTTTACCTGCAGGGCTGCATGAATCTCACATTCATCCTGTCAATCACCTTTTTCAAATAGAAACATTCAAAAGAAAAAATCTATTACCTCTCTTATATGTTTTCCCCCCTAATAATTGGCTCAGTGATAAATACTGATCTGCTGTCTTCAACACAGGATCATGGTGACAGATTGAATGGCTCTGGTTGTAGGAAATGTCTTAAGTTGATGTGAAAGTGTACCAACAGGTTATTTATCAATGTAAAGAATTTGGTTTGTAGTCCATATGCAGAATTTATCTTGTGTGTAATAGGATTACCACTTACCCCCAGCCTGCTCTGCATACCTAGAACCAGAACTAAACATGGAGAAGCAGCGTTTAGTTCCTATGCTCCATTTATCTGGAACTAACTTCCAGAAAACTGTAAAAGTGCGGAAAGCCTGAGTTCCTTTAAATCAAGACTAAAATTTGTTTGGGATTACCTTCGACCGTTCTAGTTAAACAGTTCAACTGAAACATCATTATTTCAACTTTTTTATTTTCTTTAGGGCAACTGTTTTTAATAGACTTTTTTTTTGTTTCTGCATTTTTTATTTTATTAATTTTTTTCCTACTTGCTTTGATTCTCTTTTATTTTCTTATATATTTTAATCATGTAAAGCACTTTGCATTGTCTTTGTACTGAATTGTGCTATACAAATAAAGTTGCCTTGCCCTTAAATGAAGGAATTTAAAGAGTATACTATTTTTATTTAGAGGGTGTCTGGGGGATGTGCATTGTTTATAGATCTTCTTTAAGAAGCAAAATTCAGAACTGGAGTTAACAATTTTAATAGCTTAACTTTGTGTCCAAAGGGGTCCTATTTTTCTAAAGAACATTTGTCTTTCATTTTAAGCTCATAACTTAAATGGAACTGCTTACTACTGTTAAAGGGGAGAGCTCATCGCTTCATAATAAAATTTTTATATAATGTATTATTTAACCTCAGCATTTGGGAATTTGAACATAGTGGTAGAAGGGCACACCTTGTGCTGCTGTAGATTAAAGTTTGACTTGGCTATTTATTTATTTTTTTATCTCTGTATGCTACTTTGTTTTTGGAAAAAAAGCAACATTTGCTTGGACAGAGCTGACACATTTGATTACTGACCTTTAGGGTTAAAATAAATAAAACAGAAGAAATAAACTTGCATAACATCCATAAAGCCCTGTCGGCTCAATAATAAACCAATAGCAGCCATCTGATGGTATAATTGTTAGTGCATTAGTCTGTTTTCGGTTCAAGACATCACCTCAGCAACCCTCATACCATTCTCTTTTCGTGTTTCATTCTCACATGTCACTGTGCAGTTGTCCTTTGTGGGGGGGGGACTTCCCTACAGTCTTGAGGCAGTCATAAGCTGAGGATCAATTTTAGATCAAAGCAGCAGTACACACAGTCTGTGGCATGATGTCACCCCAGATTCTCCATCATAATCCATTCATTCATGTGTATTTTAAGGTGTGCTGTAAAATGCTTCATTTACAGTCTAATTTCTAGCATTGGGTTACGGGGCTTTTTTATAAACATAAAGCAGTGATAACATTGACTTCTGTTTTTTTAGTTGTTTTATTCAAACTTAATAAAAAAAAAAAAATAATACTCTCTGGGATGTGGTTTCTTTTCAGCAATGGGGTTTAAGTCCGATGGCAGAGGCTGTTTTGTCATCGAAATGGTCCACATCACTGCCTTGATTCCCAGCCTCATTTAAAGATGCATCATTTTGCTGTTATAGAGAGCTTTAATGGTTAGGATGATTATGGGGGAATGAGGACGGCCACACACACACACACCGCAGCAACTATCGGACTGACCTCTGACTCTGCGCTTTGTCCAAAGTCCATTCTGGCTCCGGGTTGTGAAATAGATTAGCCTCCTCTGCCTCTCTCCCTCCTTCTTGGTGTGTGTGTGAGTGTTTATATATGTGTTGGATTGGGCCTATGTCACTTTTTTCTGCAACATCCATCTCTTAAAATGTGTTGAACTTCTTTTCATCTGGTTCAGAAATCTCCGGACTAAAATACCTTTGGAAATGACTCAGTATACAGATGGCTGGTGACTTGTTTCGATTACATTAAGGGCTTTAATGCTACCCATTACTGTTCAAAATAACTCATCAAAGCCATTGTTAGTCATGATACCAATGTTTAAATGGCGGATCATTAACTAATAAAGTTAAAGTCAAAGAAAAATCTACAAATTTGCATGCTCTGTAGGTCCCATATGCCCCACTGTTTAAAGCACGTTTATATTAGAGGTAGATGAAACTTCCCTTTAAGAGCAGGCTGCAGAATGTGCAGTCTGTAAGGAAACCAGAACAGACAGTGTGCTACTTCCTGGTTCAGATGAGCTGTTTTTTTAAGTTTGTTTTTTTTTTTTTTTACTTTTTTCAATAATCAACTTGTTTTATCAAAGTTGGTTCATCTGCAGATGAAAGGAAACTATACTGAAACCAGAGCACACATAGACAGATCTAGTTTTGATGATTTTTTTTCCAAATGCATGACCCCGTCCTATTTGTTTCCCCTTTTTCTAAATCGGTCGTTAATCTGTCACTTGAGTAGAATATCTATGCATCATTTTTATATTATTCTATTATTTTTCTTCCAGCATTAGGATACATTGTTGGGACGTGGTCCAACGAGAACCTAAAACTTTGAGTTTGATATTCAATTTACACCTACACTGTAAGCTTTATGGTCACATATTCAAACTGGAAACAGCAAACTAAACCGAGTTAAACATCTGGTGCATTAGCCATGATCATATGATAAGAGTGAACAGATCAGCCTGAGCTGCATTATAGTACCGTTTCTAATTGGACTGAGCCGGCTCTATAAGAGACTGGCTCTACTATTGTGTTAAAATGACTGGATTGCATGCATGGCAAGACTGCATGATATATGTGCATAAGACAAGCTCTGGAAAATAAACTATTACATTTGAAACTGATTTCAACTGGGAGCGGTTGCTGTGTGTAATGTTCTCTGAGTTTTAGTGAGTTGATCATAAATAATAGAAATGAATAACCTTAACTGTAGAAATTATCTGCTCCTCAGTTTGTGTGTAACATTTAGGGCTAAGGGAAGACCAAGAACTGCAGGCTAAAGTTTTTATTTATTATTTTTCTCATAATTCTTTAAATTTATTAAGTATGGGAAAAATCTGTTAAAGATTAATAAAACATTTCAACTTAAAGGATATATTCTTTTTTTTTTTCAGAAGTTGGGTCTCTGAACTGGCAGCTCTCCAGGGCACATTATTTGTTAATTTTTATATTAACACAATTTCTTTTTTTTTTTATTTAGGACCTTCATGTCAAAGTGAAAAAATAAAGTTAGATTAATTATTTCTTTAATAAAAAGACAAAATTTGGTTCAGGGCTTACTTAACAGACTGTATCCATTTAATCAAGAAAAAAAAAGTTGACTGAGGGATTTATCTTAATTTGCAGCAATATATAGATGAGGTGTCAAATCCTTCATTAAGATCAAAAGAAGCTTCAAAATCACATTTAAGGTTTCCTCCTGAATCTCAGGTGCATTTAAAAAAAATTTTTTTCTTTCAGTGCTTTCAACTCCTCAAAGACATTCTTATAGAAGAAAAAATAAAGTTATAATTTTCATAAGAAATAAAAAAATATATATTCTTTTCCTATTTCCATTTTTTGACTGTAGCATATAAAAATCAAAATGAAATTTCTAGCAGACAGAAACACTTTCTTAAGTCTTGTTAGATTTTCAACTCCCTCCATCCATCCAATATTTTCACAGCAGATAAATAAGTCATATACAAATCTTTGGAGAAATTAATCCAAAGCAAAAAAAGAAAAAATGTTTTAACTAAAACACATTTCCCTGTCTTGTTTTATTAAGTTATTTATGAGGCATAACTAAACAGCCCGATTGTTCTTTAATTAAAACTTAATTAAGCAATGAAAAGCATGAAACCACCGCTCCCAAGCAACCAGCTCATGGGGTCGAGACCTCAGTGTAACAATGAAGCCCCTGTAGAATCCAGAGGAAGACTGAATTCACAGATTTAATGTAAAACTTCAAGCGGCTACAAAACAAGATGCTTATATCCAAGGATTAAAGTTTTATCTCATTCCTTAACATTTTTTTTTCTGGCAGATCTCTGCTGTACTATAAAACACCTAAAATCACAGGTTAATTACAGGACTTTGGATAACAATGTGTGAGATTAAATTACTCAAAGAGAAAACGCATTTATTTTTATTATTATTTTTTTTACTTTTAACGTGACATTTGGACGGGGAAGGAATTTGGAGATATTTGCGCAGAGTGACTCTGCCCCCTGTTGGAAAAATCTTCCCTCCCAGTCAGACTGACGACCAAATGAAGGGTAGTAATAATAATAATAATAATAATAATAATAATAATAATAATAATAATAATAATAATAATAATAATAATATATTATGACAGTGTTGACGCAAATGACGCACAGTCCAGACTGAGTGACCATAGAAGCTGTAATTAAAGTCTCCCTCTGAAGCACCTTGTTAGCAGGGCTGCATAGAGATAATTAAATCACCGCTCTGCGCAGCCTACGTAGTTTCTCCTCCTTATTGAATCACCTTGATGTGCAATCCGTCACACAGCGATCATAAAAAAAGAGAAAAGATGCTCCCTTTGGATGATGATGACCCAATGCTGAGGTCAGGATTGGGTCAGA